CACCTCAGCCTCCCAAAGGCGCGGGATTACAGGCTGAGCCACCGAGCCCGGCTTCCCTTTCTTTATGGGACAAAAATTTCTCGACGACAGACAGAGGCAACAACATGGTCACATACCACATGTGGGCACTCCAGTCAGTGACAGACCACATGCACGGCAGTGAGCCCATGACACCAGGGCTGCCCGTGGCAAGCTGCCATTGCTGTCTTTTAAGTTGTGCTTTTGCTGTACCTTTCCAATGTACCGATATGCTTATACAGACACACACACCTACCATGGGGTTACAATGCCAACATTACTCAGTACAGTCCCATGCTGTACTGCTTGACAGCCAAGAGCAACAGGCTATACCGTATGAAAAAAAACCCCAAAACGCAAATTTATAGAAAATTGTATATTTATTCTTACGTGTTCAAACTTCTGTCACCTTCCAAGTACCCTCTGTTTGATGCAATATGTTTTTTCTTTTTTTTTGAGTTGGAGTCTCACTCTGTCGCCCAGACCGGAGTGCAGTGGCCGCTCCCGGCCACTGCGGCCTTGACCCGCTGGGCTCCAGCGATCCTTCCGCCTCAGCCTTCCGAGTAGCTGGAACTACAGGCGCGCTACCACGCCCAGCTCATTTTGATTTATTGTAGAGATGAGGTCTCGCCAAGTTGCCCAGGCGGGTCTCGAACCCATGGGCTCGGGCAATCCACTCACCTCAGCCTCCCAAGGCGCGGGATGACAGGCTGAGCCACCGAGCACGGCTGCAATATGCTTTTTCTACTGCTCAGAACAGTTTTTGAACTCATCTATTTTGATGCCTTTTAGTACTTCTGCTGTTTTTTTGTTTCACCTCTCCCACGTCTGCAAAATGTTTCCCTTTGAGGACTCTTTTTTATCCGGGGAAACAAACCAAAAAAATCGTCTGGGATGACAAGGGGTGAATAGGAAGGGCAGGGCACGGGTCATGCTGTTTTGGGTCAGAAACTGCTAAACACTGATAAACACTCAGAGCAGCGTGGGCAGGTGTGTTGTCCTGGTGGAAGAACCAGTCATCTGTTTGCCACAACTCAGGACGTTTCTTCTGCAAACTGTGACGCAACCTTCTCAAAACTTCCAGATAAAAGCTTTGGTTGACCAATTGATCTGGAGGAACGGATTTCAACCAAACTACAAGGGGCGCTCCAAAAATAATTACATTTTGGGGAGGTCCCCCCCATACAGCCAGCGGTATAGTAGGCTGGATAACCTTGGCTTGTGTAAGTAGACTCTATGATGTTCACACAACAAAATCACCTAACACATTTCTCACACTGTATCCTGGTCGTTAAGCAACTATTTCAGAGAGGTCCCTAAGTCTCAGCACATGCACTCACACAGCAGCTAGGAAACAGAAAAGGAAACTTTAAGAGCGCATGAACCACCAGGCTTGGTGGCTCAGCCTGTAATTCCACGCCTTTGGAAGGCTGAGGTGAGCGGATTGCCTGAGCCCGCGGGTTCGAGACCCACCCGGGCAACTCGGCGAGACCTCATCTCTACAATAAAAAAAAAATAAGAAATTAGCCAGGTGCGGTAGCGCACGCCTATAGTTCCAGCTACTTGGAAGGCTGAGGCAGAAAGATCGCTGGAACCCAGCAGGTCGAGGCTACAGTGGCCAGGAGCGGCCACTGCACTCCAGTCTGGGTGACAGAGTGAGACTCCAACTCAAAAAAAAAAAAAAAAAAAGCGCATGAAACTAGCCTGAAGACTTAGTATATGTCACCTCACCCACTCTTCGTGACTATTCACAAGACATTCTCGTGCTTCTTTTACAGACGAGTAGGCTGAGGCTTAAGAAAGTTAAAGGCCTTGTTTACTTGCAAAGTCACAGAGGCCGTAAGTGGTGAAGACAGGATTGGAAGCCAGGCCTGTGCAAATTCAACCACACTGCTTCCGGAGAGAGACTGCTTACCTTCCATGCCGATGAGCAGCAGATTGGAAGTCAACTGCCCCCAGCCACGCTTTCCCTGCTGCTTATTAATCCAGTTCCAGTTAAAACCCAAGAAGTCCATGACAATCTTCCTGCCCACGGTGTCATTGAGTGTTTGCTGCAGATACAACCTATGATCCCCAAGAAGAAAATGTCATTAGTGCACACACACACCGTCCCTGGCATGGCCTCCCCTCCTGGCAATACAAACCCAAATCCATACCAGCATATCTCAGAGAGAACAGCTGTGGTCACATGAATCTTAGTCAACACAGACTCTCACCAAACTGAATTCTTACCCATTCTCCTTGGAGCTCTGTTCAACATCAAACTTTTTACATAAAAAGACATTATCCTCAACCTTTTCTAAGTCACAACATAAATCCTTCAAAAACCTAAGGGAGGCTGTGCACTGTAGTTCACACCTATAATCCCAGAACTTTGGGAGGCAGAGGCCTGAGGACTGCCTGAGCCCAGGGGTTCAAGACCAGCCTGGGCAACTTGGCGAGACCTCATCACTACAATATATTTTAAAAAATCAGCTGGGTGTGGTGGCACACGCCTGTAGTTCCAGCTACCTGGAAGGCTGGAGCAGAAGGATCACCTGAGCCCAGCAAGCTAAGGCTGTGGTGGCCGTAAGCGTGCCACTGCACTCCAGATCAGACAACAGAGACTCTGATTCAAAAAAAAAAAAAAACCCCAAACAAACCCAAGGGAGTTTCCCCATTAAAAATACAAACACATACACACACAGACTTTTCATACAAGTTCAGACTCCCAGAAGCCTCTCCGCAGACCCCAGAATGCAGAACCAGCCTTCCTCCAGAGACACCTCCGTGGGACCTGAAGGCCACCGTGGCAGACAGTATTACTGCTTGCCTGGAGTGCGTTCCCTCTTTGTGGGAGGGTAATTCATACCCCTTGAAGCCAGGCATGCTTATTTAACCTGCGTTGCCCAATGAAATATCCACAAAGTGGACAAGATAATGTAAGAACAAGCCGACGTGACCCAGGATGAATACACAGCATGAGAGAGAAATCAGCCTTTGCTGCCTCTAGCGCACACTCAGGCTCGAGGCCCAGCTTATCGGAAGGATTCCGCCTGTCCTCTGCAGCCGTCTGCAGCTGAAGGAAGGAAGACACGTCAGGTACAGGCACAGGACACTGAACGTGCATGCACACTTGGAGAAAAGACAGAGGCAGCTCTGTGCTGGCTCTGTGCACGTGACTCCAAAAGGAGCAAAGCCATCTCACTGCCTGGAGCCCTGATGTCCAAGGCAACATTAACTAGAAATCTTGGCAAGCTGAAGACACTGACTGCCTTTTGGGGGACATGGAACCCTCAAGATTGAAATGCAAACGTTTCCAATGATAGTAATAAACATATGTTCACACAAAAATGTTGCAAATAACTTTGAAAGAGTCAGTGACACTTCCCAAACACAAATCTAAGCAACATTACTATTACACCTGAACAGTAGGTTCTCAAAAGAGCTCAAAGAGGACCCTAAGATGTTTCACCCCAAGATCACAACCACTTCTGCAATCACACAATAGAGGTGGTTTGTGCCAAAGTAAGCTGAACGGGATAAACTTGCACACAGTAAACAACTTCCCTCAAAAACTCTTCAGTCACTCAAAAGGTACAGACTGCACTCATGCTTAGGCAAAATGATCTCACTATGGAAGGCAAGAAACTTCCAGTGCCTGGAAAAACAGAAGGTGCACGTGTCTTTCCTCACGCTCATTCTAGGGTCTATGTTCATTCAATGGATCAACCTCTCTCTCCACAACAGGGCTGTGTGTAAGCGTAAGTGTGTACGCTAACCCTGTGTTGCATTTGAGAACATGAACGCATGAGAACTCAAGTGAACCAGCACTTGTAAGATGTAATGGACAGATCAGTCCAGGTTCTTGTCTTGGAAACTCTTCAGGTCAAAATCCCACCATTATGACAACTGCTAAGTGCCAAGAAGAGGAGAAAACATATTTCCAGTCCATTTACTCAGCCTCATGCTGCTGACAGGAGTCAGGAGACGAGAGAGAAAAGCAGGACTGGACAACACATGTGAAAGTCACTCCATGAAGGACTCCGTGAAAGCAATTCCCCAGAGGCAATGTTACCGTGTGGGACCCAACGCCGACTGAGACCTACGTGAGAGACTGCCCGCATAAGCAGGAATGAAAGCAGAGAGGAAGAATCGCTCCCCTGTGTGCATCTTGAGTTTGCCATTGTGAACAGTAAAAACAAGTCTGCTCTGATCTTCCCTCAACTGGAGCATGCTAATCGCCTTTGCTCCGAAAGCACAACAAACCATCCAACTTTTCAGCTTGAGGCTTGAACTGCCCTCAACCAGCAAAACACTTTAGGACAAAGGCTACAAACTGGTGATTAAAGAGCTAAATAAATCCAATGACAGACATTTTTGTTTGGACTCCTGAAACTTAAAAAAAAAAAAAAAAAAACTTAATTTAGCTATTCACATTTAAAAGCCAAAATATTTTAAATAAAAATCCTGATCTTGAGCTTTTCTTGGGAAAACAGAGCACCTGGCAAACCTAGGAGTGCACTCCCAAATAGACACAAGCAGTCAAGGAGTGACGTCTCCCTCGGAACAAGGTATGTATCTTCAGCTTAACCAGTGTTCACCTGGACAACTTCACTCATTCCCTTCATGCACTAGACCCTACTAGGCGACTCGCTTCATGAAAAGATGAGAAACTAGTTCACAGTTCAAGCCTAACCATTTTCTCATCCCTCAAACTCGAGAACTACCTGGCTGTAGACTCCCAAATCACTAAGAACTCAAACTCCTTACAGGCTGCAAAAGCAGACTGCTCGTTCAGCAGAAATCCGGAGAGGGTAGGGTGCCAGGCTCTCGTTGCCAAACCCCGCCACCCCTTCCAACCAGTGCAGGAAAGGAAAGCGGATCCCCCAAATCTAAGAGAAAACCACAACCAGGCAGGTCTTGGTGGCTCAGCCTGTAATCCCACGACTTTGGGAGGCTGAGGCGAGTGGATTGCCTGAGTCTGCGGGTTCAAGAGCAGCCTGGGCAACTTGATGAGACCTCCTCTCCACAATAAATCAAAAATTAGCTGGGGGTAGGAGCGCGTGCCTATAGTTTGGGCTACTTGGAAGGCTGAGGGGGAAAGATCACTGGAGTCCAGCAAGTCGACACCGGGGTGGCCGTGAGCGTGCCACTGCACCCCAGCCTGGGTGACAGTGAGACTCCGACTCAAAAAAACAAAGAAAACCACCACCCGAGAGCTCACCTGTCTTCCCCTCCTCGCTGCTGTATATCCTGGAGTTTCTCAACAAACTCGTGAAACTTCATTTCCTCCCTGCTGGACCTGGGCTTAAAGTTCTGGAAGTTAGCCATCTTCTTCTCGTCGTAGTACAAGAACTTGTGGGTGCTGGCGCTGTACACGGAGAAGTCTCCGTTGCCAATGTTCTCCTGCAGGTACTCAAGGTCCCATTTGAGGGCAGGGTACACCAGGTTTGTGTCGGTCAGCACCACAGGCTCCTAAACGAAAACGCCAGGTGAAAAACAAAAACAAAAACAAAAACAAAAACCAACGAAGGGGCGCCCGGGAGCGGGCGGGCTCTCGCCCCGCGATCCCAACCACCTCCCAACTTCCGAACCGTCTCCCCGGGGACCAGCACGGCCCGGTCCGGACCCAGGTGCCCGTGCCTGCCTCCGCCTCCCCTCGGCCCCTAGTCCCGAACCCCCCCGCCCCCAGCCTCCGCCTCCGCCCTCGCCCCCCAACCACGCACCCCCCTCCTCGCCCCAGGACGCGGCCCCGCCCCCCACCTCGTTCTCGATAAGCTCCTCGGCCCGGGGGTCGCTCTGACTCAGCCGCGGGATGGGCCGCGTCGGGAAGCTGTAGCTGCGCAACTGGGACTCGACCCAGGCGGGGCCGGGGGCCTCGGCCTCCTCCCGGGGCTCTCCGGAGCCCGAGGCCGCCGCCGCCGCCGCCGCCGTCGCCGCCATCTCCGCCGCGAGGGACGGCCCCCGCCGGAACCGGAAGCCCCGCCTCTTCCGGACGAACCCACAAGGGAAACCACAGAGATGAGCTGCGAGACAGAGCGGTCGGAGACACCGAGGACGCGGGGCCGAGGCCCGAGCCAGCGCCGCCTAATGGTCACGCCGAGCCCTACAGGCCGGGCTCCACTCCCCAGGGTCTGGGGCGGCCAGTGCCCACTGGATGGGGGTGACCGCCTGGTAAGCCGAGCCACACAAAACTGCTGCCTCGGTATGCCCACGTTTACACGAGAGGAGAAGAAGGAGGCAAGTTGAGTTAGGCATTAAACTTGACACTCTTGGATGGGGTTGGAAGCAAACTCCTGACCCACCCGACTCGGAAGGAAAGGCAATTGTCACACTGGTCAATGTGGGCAAAGGCGGCCTCGAGACCTAGATAAAAGCTCTGTGACACGTGGAGTGCTTTTAAAATCAGTCTGGGGCGGTGGCTCAGCCTGTCATCCCAGCACTTTGGGAGGCTGGGGCAAGAGGATTGCCAGAACCCAGGAGTTTGAGACCAGCCCCAGGCAACTTGATGAGATTGTCTCTACAATAAATCACAAAAACTAGCTGGGCATGGTGGCGTGCATCTATAGTTCCAGCTACTTGGAAGGTGGAGGTGGACGGATCCCCTGGGCCCAGCAGATGGAAGATGCAGTGGCGGTGAGTGTGCCACTGTGTTCCAGCCTGGGTGACAGAGTGAGACTTCAACTCTAAATAAATAAATGAATAAATAAATAAATAAAAGCAAAGGTGGTTTTCTTCTGTTCAACATCGGATTTTTCCGCCCATATCACCGTCTCTCCTACTCAAGTACATTCTTGCCACAAGACCAGTGTGATTAGTGGCCAAAGGTGGGCATCTCACATTTTCAAAAAATCATTTTGATTACGGCAGGCCATATCAATTGCCTCTATTGCTTACTTAGTCCTCATGGTTGGCTGTAAGTAGCTGAATTCTAATGTGGATGCCAAGATTTGGGCCTCATGGTGACACATCCTGCATAAATGAGAGCAGGACTGTGAATATGTGAGGGTGTCCCTCCTGTTAGTAGGCTACTTTCTATGGCAAATATGTGATTGGGGTCCCTCACCGATTAACTTTCAGTGCATCAAAAGAGAGACTTATCCTGGGTGGGCCTGACCTTTTCACTCTAGTCCTTTAAACCTAGGTGTAGAGGTCAGAGACAGACGTCTGAGAGATCAGGCTCGGCACAGTGGCTCACACCTGTATCCCAGCACTTTAGGAGGTTGAGGAGGGAGGACTGCTTGAGCCCAGGAATTCGAGACCAGCCTACGCAACATAGTGAGACCTTGTGTCTAAAAAAAAAAAAAAATCGCCGGGCTCGGTGGCTCAGCCTGTAATCCCGTGCCTTTGGGAGACTGAAGTGAGTGAATTTCCTGAGACCTCATCTCTACAATAAATCAAAAAATCAGCTGGGCATGATTGCGCGTGCCTATAATTCCGGCTACTCGGAAGGCCGAGACGGAAGGATCGCCGGAACCCAGCAGGTCGTGGCTGCAGTGGCCAAGAGCGGCGACTGCACTCCAGTCTGGGTGACAGAGTGAGACTCCAACTCAAAAAATAAAAAATAAAAAAATTAGCCAGCGTGGCTATGTGTGCCTGTAATCCCAGTTCCTGGGGAGGCTGAGGTGAATGGATTGTCTGAGTCCAGGAGGTCGAGGCTGTGGTGAGCCATGAAAGGGCCACTGCCCTCCAACCTGGGCTACAGAATGAGACCCTGACTCAAAAAAAAAAAAAAAAAAGGTGGTTGTTGAGATCTGAAGCCACAGCAACGCTGTCCTGCTTGCCTTGAAAGCATAAACTGCCATGTGCCAGAGAACAGTGGGTAAACTCTAAAAGCCAAGAAATGCTCCTGGTTGGCAGCCACCAAAGAAGTGGGTGCCTTAGTCCTACAAATGCAAGCCACTGAATTCCACCAACAACCACTGAGCTTGGAGAAGGATACACAAAGAGCCTGAGATGAGAGAGCTGACCCAGCCAACACCTTGATTTTGTCTTGGTGAGACTTGGTGCTGAGGACCCAGTTAACCAGTAGCTGGACTCATGGAATACGAGGGGGGACTCCCCCCAAAATAGAGTTCATTCATAAAAAATTGTGTATTTATTCTAACATGCTTAAACATTAGTCAGCTTCAAAGTCCTCTCCTTTGGATGCAGTACAGCTATGGAGACGCTTTTTCCATGGCTCAAAACAGTTTTTGAAGTCGTCAGTTTTGATGCTTTTTAATGTTTCTGCCACTGTTTGCTTCACCTCTTCCACATTGCCAAAACATTTCCGTTTGAGGGCTTTTGTTATCCAGAGAAATAAAAAAAGTTGCTCGGGGTGAATTCTGGTGAATAGGGAGGGTGGGCATGGAAGTGATGCTGTTTGGGGTTAAAAACTGCTGAACACTCAGCACACTATGGGTAGAGGTATGTTCATAAATCACCCATCATGAAATGGGCAAATGTGTTGAAAAAAATCTCCCCCAAAAAATTCACTGAAGCCAAATGCAACCTCTCACAACAATGCTAGCTGGAACCCTGATGCCAAAGGGTTTGTAGAAGGCTTACCTAATGGGGGAGGCCTGTAGGAGGCCAGCCCTCCAAAAGATAATTTTGGGATCGGGGGGGGGCCCCCTCATATGTGAGGTAATAAGCTGGTGTTTGTGGGGCTGTGAAATGTATGGTAATTTGTTATGCAGCCATAGGAATGAATACACTAGCTTGACTATATAATTATGCTGCACAGTAATTGTGCTACACCAAACTGATAACAGGGTTACCTCTGTGGAAGAGTTTGAGGCTTGAGGTTGCAATCAAGGCTTTAGTTTTATCAGCAGTGTTCAAATGTTTACCAGAAGATATTAATTTATAACCTTGGGAATTAAAAATAAAATAGATCAGTAAGATTCAAATCACTAAAATCAGGAATGAGACAGGAACATTCCTACTGACTTTACAAGACTAAAAAGGCATATAAGAGAATGCTATGAACAATTATATGCCAACAAATTATAGAACTTAGATGAAATGAACAAATTCCTAGAAAGGCACACACTATAATGACTAATTCAAGAAGCAGAAAATGTAAATAGACCTATAACAAGAGGTTGAATTAGGAATCTAAAAACATCCCACAGAGAAAAGCTCAAGACCAAGTGGAATCACTAATTAAATCTATCAAATATTTTTTAAAAATTAACACCAATCCTTCATATACTCTTACAAAAAAATAGAAGAGACCACCTCCCAATTCATTCTGTGAGGCCAACATTATTCTGATATCAAAATTAGACAAAAACAGGAAAAAAAATTAGACAAAGACAAGAAAAAAAAACAACTATAGGCTGATATTTCTTTAGGAATATAGATGCAAAAATTCTCAACAAAATATTAGCAAACCAAATCTAACATAATATAAAAAAGATTACAGACCACGACCATGTGGTATTTATTCCGAGAATGCAAGGTTGGTTCAATACCTAAACATCAATCAGTATAATACATCATATTAGTAAAAGAAAAAAACCTACATGATCATCTCAGTAGACACAGAAAATGTTTTTGCAAAACTCCAACACCCTCTCATGATAAAAACACCACCAAGAAAGTAGAAAGACATTCAACAGAATGGGAGAAAATATTTACAAATTGTATATCTGATAAGGGAATTGTATCTATATTACATAAATAACTCTTACAACTCAACAATATAGTCAATTTTAAAAATAGACAAAAGACTTGAATAGACATTTCTCCCAAGAAGATATACCATGGCCTACAGGCATATGAAAAGATACTCAACATCATTAGTCATCAGGGTAATGCAAATGAAAACTACAATAACACACCATCCGTGCCCACTAGCATGGCAATAATGAAAAAAAAAATCCAGTGTTGGCAAGGATGTAGAGAAATTAGTACCTCATATGCTGCTAGTGGGGATGTAAAATAATGCAACTGCTTTGAAAAACAACTTGGGGGCAACCCCTGGGGTCCCCTCCCACTGTGGGAGCTTTTCTGTCCTCTTAGTAAATACTGCTTTCAAAGAAAAACAATTTGGTAGTTCTTCAGAAAGTCAAACATACAGTTACTCTAGGACCCAGCAATTCTACACCTACATATGAAGGGGACCCAAAAAAACCCCCGGAATTTTATATTTATAAAACATTGTGTATTCTAACATGTTTAAACTTCAGTCACCTTCAAAGTATTCTGTTTGATATAATACACCTATCAAGACACTTTTTCCACTGCTCAAATCAGTTTTGAAATCATCAATTTTGATGAGTTTTCACTTCACCATTGGCAAAATGTTTCCCTTTGAGGACTTTTTTCATCTGCAGAGAAAAAAAAAAAGAGGCCGGGCTCGGTGGCTCAGCCTGTAAGGCCGCACTTTGGGAGGCTGAGGTGAGTGGATTGCCTGAGTCCACAGGTTCGAGACCCGCCTGGGCAACTTGGCGA